TATATACACACACACACATATATATATATATATCTATAAATATATATATATATATATGTATTACTATTTATCGTAGTTGTTATTACGATGTTGTTAGAATCAACGTTAAGATAAATACTAGTGATAGTAACAGTTATAGTAATAGGACGTGAATTGTTTTTCTTTCTTTATTTTTCTTTTTTCTTTTTATTCTTTTTTTAAATTTCGTTTAAACACCGAGAAGAAGTTTTATATATATATATATATATATATATATATATATATGTATGTATGTATGTATATATATGTTTATGTCTCTCTATCTCTATCTCTCTCTCTCTCTCTCTCTCCTCAGCCGATGAGTTTTCGTGTCGAGTCTGTGGTCACTGGCAGAGGCGTTTGCCTTCGTGTCTTATATGAACTCCCCACTCTTTTCCCTGCACTCGAGCCCGCATAGGAAGGCTTAACTACTGGAGAGAATACACGTATATATATGTATACATACATAATATATATATATATATGCACACACACATATACACACACATATACACATACATACATACAACAGCAGATAGACAGACAGACAGACACAGACATATACAGGTAAAGAAATGTGCGCGCGTTTGGTTTTCTTCTATCGCGAGGCCTCCTTGCTCTACGGACTCTTATGATCGTGATATCTAACGATTCGAATCCGCATCCCTGACTTTAGCGACTAATTATTAATGAGTAACAATCTAATTACAATATTAACTATCACGATCAAAGCTTTTCTCGGTTTTTCTTATTTCCATTTGACGAGATTTTTATTCGTAAGGATTCTTTTTTTTTTTCTTTCCTCTTCTTTCTTTTTCTTTTTTTTCTCTTCTTTTTTTCTTTTTTTTTTTGCACACTTCTTTTCAACTTCAAAGTGAACGAAGTAAAAAAAAGAAAAAATAAATATATATATGTGTGTGTGTGTGTGTGTGTATTTATATATTTTTTCTGATATTCTCCCACCTTTTTATTATTTTCAATAATAAAAATATTATGATATATGTAAATTGAAATGTGATTAATATTATTATCGATTTTTTTTGCATTTGAATTTCAAAAAAAGAAATTTATATATATATATATATATATATATGTATATATATATGTATTTAAGTATTTTCTGAGGTTCTACATTCTTCGTACTATTATTAATAAAAATTTAATGATATAAATTAAAATTAATTAATGTTATTACCAATTATTTGTTTTTGGAGCTTCAAAAAAAAAATATATATATATATATATACGTATTCTCTAAAGTTCTACTTCTTCTTTAATTGTTAATAAAAACATAATGATACAAATTAAAGTTAATTAATGTTATTACTGAGAGAAAGAAAGAAAGAAAGAAAGAAAGAAAGAAAGAAAAAAAATCATAATGAAAATAAAAAACTTTAACACAATGTACCAAATTACCAAGAGATCTCTTTAATAATTATATATATATATATATATATATATATATATATATATATATATATACTTGATAAATGCTAGCAAATTTACTGTTATAACTAATGATATAAGTACATATATATAATATGTACATACATGTATATATTTACTTATTTACTTCATAGAAACATTCGATCTATTACTTACGTATTTACGTACTTACGTGTCCACGTAAGTAAATAAATAAGTAAGAAAATAAGTGAGTGAGTGAGTGAGTGAGTGAGTGAGTGAGTGAGTGAGTAAAGTGTGTACGTATATGTCTACGACAGGTCTAAAAGATTTTTTGCACGTGCGCATAACGGATCAAACGATGGATAACTGACAAATCATTTCCTTTAGGACCTTTCACAGAATTCGGCGACAGCCATACCATTTATATTTCAATGTAAAGATACATGTAAATGTTGACACTAGCTTTCTCATACATATACACACACACACACACACACACACATATATCTATTATATGTACATAGTACCTAACTTTCAAACATAAGAAAGTTTCAAATGTTTTAATATACGTAACAATCAATTAGAAATTGTAAATGATCGATCAAATGTCAAAAAAATAAAATATTTATGATTTTATTATTTATATATATATATATATATGTATACTTGTTCTTTTTATCGTTTTTAAAGGGCAATTGAAAGATACGAATTATTTTCTCCGTAATTGTCTCTTCCATCCTTTCCTCTCACTATCGTAGATACTTCCTTTACTTTTTCTAGTTTCATCGTCTATGTATGTGCGTTTGCGTATGTGTGTATGTGTACAAATACATATATATATATATATATTGGCCTTCCACAGACTCCAAGAAGTTATCTTTCTCTCTGAGCTACGTGTCACTAGGCAAGCGAGAGAGCGCGCGCGCGCGCGCGCGTTCGCGCTATAGGTCGGTGAAAACAACGGTGAAACATTCTCAAGTAGTTGGATGAGATTTCCCGCGAGACAGCTTCTCTTATTCGATATATAAGCATATATAACAACATATACATTAAAATATATATATATATATATAAAATGTATATATATAAAAATAAAATATAAAATATATATATATATATATATATATATATATATATATATAAATGTATACATATATATTGGAAACTATGAAACGGGCGTTGAATGAAAATAAATAACTAAACAAAAACGCCCGTTACATAGTTTCCAACCTAATATAAAAATAAAATATAAAAAAAAAGTATATATATATATATATGAAATTTGTATATAATAGAAATATTAATATTATTAGATATGAATAATAATCTCTTGATGCAAGCAAATGCGTTAATTCACTTAAGTTATATTTCACAAATTTTAATTCAAATTATATAACGATTAATGAAAATTATATAACGATTAAATTAATCTTAGATCGTAACAAACGCCGAATAAAAATTCATGATTGCTTGATATAAATGATAACAATAAAAAAAAAAAAAAAAAGGAAAAAATTGAAAAATAAAAAATAAATAAAAACAAAAAAAGAAAAAAAAAGTATTTAAACTATTCAATATTCTTTGATTTTGCGCCTTTGTAAGATTTATTATTGAAATTAAACGATATCAATGTTGTCGTGACATTTTTTTCCTTTTCTTCTTTATTTTTACATATGTCACTCTTATTTTTTTCTTTCATTTTCTTACAAAAACAACGAACAATGACGACGATATTTGAATTAAAATTTATTGGGATAAAAAATAAAAAAGAAAAAAAAAAAAAATATATATATATATATATATATATATATAAAACAGAGAAATCTAACGAATAATGACAATTAATATTTATATTTAATAATGAATATGTTCGTATAGAAAACAATGTAATTAACGAAACGATAGAAATTAACTGAAAAGATCGACGAACTTCCGTGACTCTAGGCGAAATCCGTTCAAAAGATCTTAGCTTTATTTTCTTATGCAAGCCAGTAAGAATGAGACAGTGGCTCGTTACTCGAAAAGATTATCTCAGTGATGCTCGGTGAGAATGGTCACAAGAGAAAAGGTAAAAGATATATATATATATATACATACATATATATATATACATACACACATAGATATATACTATATATATATACATATATATATATATAAGAATGAAACAATGGCACCTAGTTACGAAACACTCTCGTCATAACTATGGCCGATTTTCATCCAATCCCATCCCTCGTAACAAGTTATTCGCTTCTAATCTTCTGATCTTTTAGATTGGAATTGTGAGTCTGAATGATTACACTGGTACATTAATTACACGTAAAACTTTCTCGTTTCGATTTAAAATATTGTGTATTCTTTAGAGAAAAGAAAAGAAAAGAAAAGAAAAGAAAAGAAAAGAAAAGAAGAAAATTAAGAAATAACTATACACATTTTTTAATTGTATTAAATAAATATATAATTTATTGTATAAAGTCAATATATTAAATGATAAATATATCAAATATAAAATTGTATTTTAAATAATTCACAATGATTCCATTCATACATACTCGTATTCATACTCATTTATTTTCTAGAATCATTTAAAATACATATACGTCTGTTGTAACAATAAACACGTGTATTCTTCGATGTATAAATTTCGCCTGATGAGTGGCAACCCGTTATACGTCCGACATAAAATGGTTGCGTTCACTAAAAGAAAATACCGATAGGGAACGGATAGACCGATACACGTGAGTAATAATTTCGAACTAAATCTTATCGATTGAATTATTTTTATATCCTTTTTTTTTTTTTATTCCTTTTTTATCATTTTTTTTTTTTCTTGAATTATTATTTGATTTAATTAAACGTCCTACAAGAGTTTCTCAATTTACACGTTCGTTTTTTTTTTTTTTCGATAAATAAAACCCGGAACGCGTGTTTAATAGTTGTATAAAAAAAAAAAAAAAAAAAAAAAAGAAATCAACATGATTATAAAACATACAGGGGGTAGTTCGATTTTGAACGGAGAAATCCCTTTTTAATTCTCATCTTAATCACCGAATAAATAATCCTTGTCGTATCTTTCTCGTACCCTTTCGAATTAACGACGCACGATAACTGGGGTTAGTTATAAATGAAAGGGTTGGGATGGGGTGGGGAGGTATTCGTAACAAACGTTCGTAAAATCTTGCGAACTCAGGCTAAAAAAAATATCATTAAATAAGTTCCCTCGCTCGTGAGGTAAGATTAAATTTAGTAAGAGAGAGAGAAAGAGAGAGAGAGAGAGAGAGAGAGAGAGAGGGAGAGAAAGAGAGATATAGCAATGTAAATTAAGTGTCGTATTATATGTACCCCTCTTATCTTGGTGCTTGCTTACATGTATTTGAAGACTAACGACTAGCGTTCTCATTTTGAATTTTTTCAAAATTCACGATCAAAAATCAATGCTTGATTATTGATATTAAAGATCGAAGGAAAAAAATGAAAGAAAGGAAAAATCAAATGAAAATTATTCCATTTTTCATTCGTTGCGATTTACATAATTTCATGAATAGAATCGAATAAAAAGAATGAAAAATATAATC